ATATCATATTCACTTCCAGATGCCGTCTCTTACGGTGAATGATATTTTTATTTAATATATGGTGTTTATTTTGTATCATAATATATCATGATTTTTGAGTCTTTTCTTGCATTGGGTGCTGTAGAATTTTCATGTTATCCACTAATATCTGCCTTACGTTGATATTCATATTTTGGTTGTTACCAATGGGTTGGTCAATGTGTGCATGAATTGCACTGCGTTCTGACATGTGACAGGTCAAACTGTATGCGTCTATATAGTGGTAAATTAACACAAGGCTGACAAAAGAGTAATCTATTCACAGTTCTAATATTGTTGAGTTATAAGAAATATTTTAAAGATATTAAATAGAGTAATATCTTTTAACTACAACTTTACTTACTAATAACAGGAGGTCAATGCTGGATTAAACATCAACAAAAATGATACACAATCATGGATTGCGACATACATCCTTCGAGATACGTGAACACTTTGCTAATTTACTATTAAATTTCTCTCTTTTGTGGCTCGCATCTACTTTTATGCGTGCAATGTAAATCTGCATATATTTAAATTGTGCAATGTAGAACATAACACATTTTAAATTGTGCAACATAAATCCTGGTATATTTTAATTGATGATGTAGTCCTTTACACATTTTAATTGTGCAACATAAATCTTCGTGATTTTTTACTTGCGCATTATAGAACATCTCATATTTTAAATGTTCAATGTAGAACATCTCATATTTTAATTGTGCAATGTAGAACATCACATATTTTAAATGTTCAATGTAGAACATCTCATATTTTAATTGTGCAATGTAAAACATCTCATATTTTAAATGTTCAATGTAGAACATCTCATATTTTAATTGTGCAAAGTAGAACATCTCATATTTTAATTGTGCAAAGTAGAACATCTCATATTTTAAATGTTCAATGTAGAACATCTCATATTTTAATTGTGCAATGTAGAACATCTCATATTTTAATTTTGCAATGTAGGTTTTCCCACATTTCAATTATGCAAGTAGACATTTACGCATTTTCATTGTGCAATGTAGACATTCACACGTTTTAATTGAGCCATTCATACTTACCAAATTTTAATTTGTAATGTAGTCTTTCACAAGTTTTACTTACGCACTCTAGACATTCACACATTTTATTTGTACAATATAGATATTCATAGGTTTTTATTGTGGAATGTAGACATTCACATGTTTCAAGTGTGTAATGTAGGCCTTGCCACATTTTAATTGTGCAATATAGACATTCACACATTTTAATTTTGCAATGTCGTCCTTCAGAAATTTTATATGTGAAGCTCTGATTAAACAAATATTCGATATTTTTGTTCTGCTTTTTTTTCTACAAGTTTCTGATACCAGCCGGGAACCTTTCTGAATCTTCTTAATAGAATTGTGACCATTTTTTTTTTCTTTCATTAATAATTCAACAAAACCCAGATAAGAAAATACTTTGAATTTAAGAAAACTATTGCCAAGAATTTTTCTTTTTTTCTTTTCTTGGTAGCGTCATGTTTTGTGATTCACATTTACTGATATCGACCCCCACTCATGAGGGGTGAGGTTATGGTAAAAATAATGATTTTTTTTTCTTTTTTTTTTTAAAATATCAAGTTCTGGATTTCGAACATGGATCTTTCTGACACATGGAAATTGAATTGTGACATTTTTTTTTCCGCAGGACAAACTAGAAGTCAACATAAGACTTTATAAGACATAAGTCAAGATAAGTCTTTACTTTGAATTTACAAAGAAAAATTGTTTAGAATGATCATTCAAAGCAAACACAGACACAAGCACACACACACACACACAGGCACACGCTGACACACATATATGCACACACACATACACACGCGCACACTCACACACACACGTGCAAAACACTCACACACACATGCACACACATACATACACACCGGCACACACATAGACAGACACACACTCACACACAAACGCACAGACTCACACACACACGCACACACTCACACACACGCATAGACTCACAGACACATACACAAATACGCACGCACAGACTCACAGACACACACACACACACGCGCGCACGCACACACACACGTACAGACGCACACACACGTACACACTCACACAGACATGCACACACGCGTGCACACACACTTACACACACACGCGCGCACAGTCACACACACACACACACACACGTATATATATATATATATATATATATATATATATATATATATATATATTTATATTTATATATATACATACACACACACACACATATATATATAAAGAGGCCGTTTGACCAACACAAGGTCTGATCAAAATTAACGATAAAAAACAAATGAATACCATAGATAAAGTTCATTTTCTTCAGAAACTCATTCATTCCTGTAGTTCACTGCTACTAATAAGCAGATTTTATTTTCTGATGATGATGGCCATTCTACCCGAAACCACTCGAGGTATCTAATTGAATTAATAAAAAAAAATATTAATATATAAACTAGTGTGTCTGAAAATTTTAATTTTTTAATTTCTCAATATTTTTATTGTTCAAAAATATATATATATATATATATATATATATATATATATATATATATATATATATATATATATATATATATATATATATATATATATATATATATATAATGAATCAATCATTATAAAAAACAAATATAGAGGTTAATGATTTAAATGGCGAGAATACATGCTCACAAACAATTTCAATAAGTTACACTAACCCCGAACCTGTATATGAATGATATGTTCCCTGTTTATAAATTCCAGTTTCATAAGGTCTTTTTTTAGTTTTTACAAGCTTTCGTCTGAATCTAAATAAATCATTTATTTAGTAGTTTGTTTTTGGACTGGCAAGGTAATTGAAATAATAATAAAATAAAGTAATAATAAAATAATGTAATAAAATACATCAAACTATTAATAAAATTCATCCTAATGAAATACATCTGGAATGGAAGTCTTCAACGACGAACGAGGACAACAAGCAACATACAGAAATATAGAAAGACCAGGAATATTAAAACCTGAAATGAAGTCATCGTGAGCTTCATTGAACAAGAACAAAATACCAGCAACAGGTGGAACTGTAATAGAGATGCTGTCAGCGGCAGATGATTTCGACAGTGGCAAGATCAATGACATAATAATAGGAATATGCAAAAGTGTTTAGACACCGGAAGTCTTAAGTAGATCAATTTTCATATCACTGCCAAAAACAAAACAGGTGAAAACGAATGTAAACTCCATGGGACATCACTCTAATGAGACACAGAACAGAAGTGGTCATCGGAATTCTTATGCCGCAGTAGTATTAGACCGGAAATGCAACAGGAGCCATATTGGTTTTGTTAAAAAAAGGTTGGGGAATTTATGCTCAGAATATATCAAGAATAAAAATACAAATGTAAAAGGATGTATACCTGTCATATAGGAAGATGAGTAACTAGAGACACTGAGGTTACACTCTGGACTTATAAATATATGTTTTCCGCCAGGTGTATAAATAGTGGTGTCAGGCTACTGACTGCAATGATTATTGAGTGATTATCCAGAATTAGTATGAATTATTGTGCGTCGATCATTTTGGATTTGATTTAGGATTTACTGGACGTTAAACCGAGCTGCGCTGCGCTTCTAACAAGGTATTCATTGAAATGGTTAATTATCTTTAAATAATTATCTTTAATTTAATTATCTATTTACTTCTTTCTTCTTGTTAAGTATTTATTTGTGGTTGTAATTAAATACTGTTTTATCTTAACATTGAAGTCTTGAATTATACTTAATCATTAACGGCCACCATACGTCACAAAAATACCTATATATATATATATATATATATATATATATATATATATATATATATATATATATATTGCATTATGCAAAAGCATTGAAAATAAATAGTAGGTTAAAAAAAAAAGACAAAAAAACATGATCACCAAAGTCCTGAAAAGAAGAAAGGGGAGGAGTAAATGGTTGGCAGAACAGGGATTAAGAGAAAAATAAAAAATGACAAAGTTTACTAAGAATTACAAATAACAGGACGTTTTGAGAACACGAAACGTGAAAAGGAAATGGAACGAAGAAGAAGAAGAAGAAGAAGAAGAAGAAGAAGGAGGAGGAGGAGGAGGAAGAGGATGAGGGGAAGAAAGAGGAGGTGAAGAAGAAGAAGAACAAGAACAAGAAGAAGGGGGAAAGAGGAGGTGAAGAAGAAGAAGGAAGAGAAGAAGAAGAAGAAGAAGAGGAGGAGGAGGAGGGGGAAGAAAGGGGAGGTGAAGAAGAAGGAGAAGGCGGAAGAGGGGTGGAAGGAAGAGGATGTGAAGAAGAAGAAGGAGGAGGAGGAGGGAGAGTAGGAGGAGGAGGGAGAGTAGGAGGAGGAGGGAGAGTAGGAGGAGGGGGAAGAGGAGGTGAAGATGAAGAAGAAGAAGGAAGAGAAGAAGAACAAGAAGAAGAAAAAATAGGAGGAGGAAGAGCAGAAGAAGAAGGAAGAGAAGAAGAACAAGAAGAAGAAAAAATAGGAGGAGGAAGAGCAGAAGAAGAAGGAAGAGAAGAAGAACAAGAAGAAGAAAAAATAGGAGGAGGAAGAGCAGAAGAAGAAGGAATAGAAGAAGAAGAAGAAGATGAAGAAGAAGGAGAAGAAGAATGAACGAACAAATTTTGTAAATGGCTGCTTTCGCAGGGATTAGATTTACTAAGAGCTACAAATAACAGGACGTTGTGAAGTACCATGATTTCCCACGTGCTGAAGGGACAAGTCACAAAAAAGAAGAAGAAGAAGAAGAAGAAGCAAATGGTCGGCAGAACTGCGGTTTGAAGAGATAGAAAATTATAAAATATACTAAACGCTACAAATGACTGGACGTTATGGAGAACCATGATCGCCAGTGTTATAAAGGGACAAAACACAAAGAAGAAGAAGAAGAAGAAGAAGAAGAAGAAGAAGAAGAAGACCGAGCTCATGTAAATGGTTGATATATAACAGGGATTAGTATAGATAGCAAAAAGATCAAATTTACACAGAGCTACAATACACAGGACGTTGTGGAAGGCCATAATCACCAATACCCTGAAAGCAAAATCACAAAGAATGAAATGAAGAATAAACTTGTGTAAATAAGTTGACAGAATAGGATTCAGAAGAGATAGAAAAAATGACCAAATTTACTACAGGGATACAAAGGAGAGGACGTTGTGGAGAGCCATGAATGAGATAATTGAAGTGATAACTAAAATCAGATAATATGGATTAATCCGTTGTCTGCCTGCCATTTCATCATATATCGGTGACATCGCATTTTAATTCCCGCCGTTTTCCCAGTTATTGGTGACAGTTATATTTTCTTCGCCAAATGCCATTTTGGGAAAATATAAATAGCATAGATGCTTCTCGGGATTATTACTTGAATTCTTTATTTAAAGAACTTAAAAGAATATTTATTGTTCCACTGGGTTTTATACTTAACACATTGAGATCTAACGAACGCCTTTATCCACTGTGCCATGTGTCCTCAAGGATAAAGGCGTTAGTTAGATCCAGTGACAGGACCCAAAGAGTGTGAGTTCAATACGTGGTTAAGGCGGTGGAGAGAATTTGGAGATGGGAATTAACAGGAGATAACTGATAACTGACATCCATTAAGCATGGCACGTGGAACTAGAACAGTCTACCACAGTGAGCGAAATAAATGGTTCAGTTTAACATTCCAGCCACCTGAAGAAAGCCGGAGCGTACAACGTCCGAAACATTGTGATGAATATGGCTACAAAGATGAGGACAGTAGTCCGTATAATGTAAATAGTGTACATAATACTTCATCTCAGAAATATACACAGATACTGGATAATGTTGTTATAATATGTTATGAATGTTTATTGTTTTTCTTACACACGCGAATACACACACACACACATATATATATATATATATATATATATATATATATATATATATATATATATATATAATGCATGGACGAGTATAGTGCCGTAAGATATCGTTGCGCTTTCTATAACAAGCGAGTTTTTAAGTGATTAGGTTGTTAACCAACTGAACAGCTCCAATCACACTAGACCATTTGACACCCAAGACTATAGAATTTACACAGAGGAGAAGAGGATTACCTTTAGTAAGTGAATGTAATTGATTCGACTGGAGCTCGAACTCGGCTCTCCAATTCTTCAATCCGACCCGCTATCCATTACTTATCCAGGAAAATCGAGAAGAGGATTCATACCTTTCCCAAGGGTATTAGCACGTAAGTGAATGTAATGGATTCGACTGGAATTCGAACTCGGCTCTCCGAGTCCTCAATCCGGGGCCGCTATCCATTACTCCTCCGGGAAAATCTAGAAGAGGATTCATACCTTTCCCAAGGGTATTAGCACGTAAATGAATGTAATGGATTCGATTGGAATTCGAACTCTGCTCTCCGATTCCTCAATCCAAGCCGCTATCCATTACTCCTCCGGGAAAATCTAGAAGAGGATTCATACCTTTCCCAAGTGTATTAGCACGTAAGTGAATGTAATGGATTCGACTGGAATTCGAACTCTGCTCTCCGATTCCTCAATCCAAGCCGCTATAAATTACTCCTCAGAGAAAATCCAGAAGAGGATTCATACCTTTCCCAAGGGTATTAGCACCTAAGTGAATGTTATGGATTTGACTCGAATGCCGTAGGATATCGTTTTTAAAACTGTGATGTGATTAAACGGCATTGTTCCTTTTTTCAAGATACCTGTTTAAATTATCCCATTTGGTCTCCATCATCAACAATGTCTTTGATGAAAATTGTTAATAAGGGAAAAACACGGAATCTCCAGCGACAAAGTAGCATCGCTGGAAAGCAACTATTAATCAGGATACAGAGGAAAAAATGAAGACAAGTCACTAATTCCCAAATGAGGGACGTTAAATGTGGTTTAATGCTTAATGTATAAGGTACTGAAAAGAGTTAACGGCTTCCCGAACGTTTTTAAGTGCTAAGCTAGTTTTTTTTCCTGAAGCGAAGTAAAGAAACCTATGTAACAATTTGAAATTCTGATTCGATTGTGATCAATATCCTTTTTTTTTAAGAGTTTCAACCTACGCAAGGCGGGAAGCCATTAGCACGCAAGGGGTTACACAGAGTTGAAGCTAGAACAAAGAGGAATGATAGAGGAAAGGATGAAGAGAAGGATAGGGGATAGATCAAGGCATCTGGAGACGTCGATTGACATTACATTTGAATAGTTGGAGATGATAGCTATCAGGGAAACAGGAAAAGGGGAGGGAGTTCCACAGGCGAGAGGTGCGAGACATGAAGCTATTGGAGTAGAACAGACGGCCACATTTAACAGTTTCGACAGTGAAAGGGTGAGAGCGAGATGCCAGCCTAGTTGAACGCTTAAATTCATGAAGTCTGGGAACCAACGAAAGCAGCTCATCAGAGCAGTTACAGTGAATGTCTGTAAAAAAGACAGAAAGTGTCGACGGCACGTCTGTGAGAGAGCGGCTGCAGACGAGGTGCCAGATCAGTGCACTTACCATTATTTTTAAAATATTTATATGCATTAGTGTCTCTAAAAATCTAATTTGTTATTCATTTCGCCGAATTTACCATTTTAAATTGAAACCGTTCCTTATATCTGTAATCGGAAACGAAATGATTCGATTAAGAATTTTCGAAATTCAATTTAGATTTTAAGGTTGGCAGAATTCTTCAAAAGATGATGTTTCTTTTGAGAGCACTTTGTGCCTTGCCCCTGGTGAAACAATATTTCTTTTTTTCTTCTTTTTTTTTTAAATTATCATTGCTGGTAACGATCATTGCACAGTGGGAAGCATTCCGCGAAAACTTTCACTTACGTCTTCGACGGAGAACATCCTGACATTATTCGAGATACAATAATAATTTTAGTGTTCTTTTAATACCCCAGGGCCACTACAATTACTACGGCTCCTGGAATTAAATGATCTAATTCATTTCATGACAACTTAAGTGAATAATGTTACATAGAATGGTCGCATTCTAACAGTACGGCATCAGTTCAGCTTCGAAAAGATGGGCAATTTCTATTGATTTACAATTAATATCTGTAGCAACCCCCCCCCCCCATATATATATATATATATATATATATATATATATATATATATATATATCCTGACTATAACATTTATTTACAGAGGAAGCGTCTGGTTAGCAAGGTGAATTATTGCTTTTAAACTTCAAATTTCCCATGATTTCTCTCGAGTGTTCATATCTGTTCGAAGCGAATCTTAATATGAAAATCTTTGGCTAGGATGCATCTATCTATCTATATATATATATATATATATATATATATATATATATATATATATATATATATATATTTCTGTATGTTTTGTCGTTGTCAAAGGCATCTAAATTCATATGTAATGATAATCTGGTGTAGTTTTGATTTTGTCGTCGAGGTTTTATTTCTGATAATATGGTCAGATTCTATTCATTTTTTTTATTTATTGTCAGTGAATAATTTGATAAATTGCAACATGTGTCTATATTTTAATGCTTCACTTTTAATAGTCAGGCTGATCAAATACAATTTATATTCCATTTCGTTTTGTGTTAGGATATTTCTTTAAAATATTTCGCTGTATTTTTCATTTTTACCGTTTCAGCATTAAACTTCATCAGCAGCCACCATAGTCTCTCCGTTTAAATCAAACAATAGTTTATTCCGTACGAAACTGAGCAGTTACGACTTTGAGAATAATCTGAAGGAGTAAAGTGAACTTTAAACACAAATAAAAATTTAGACCATTGTGTTGCGTATCGTAACCGAACGGTCAAATCACTCCGAGTAAAATGTTAGTTTCTACTGCAAATGAGTTTAGAATACTGTCATAGATCACATTTTCTTAATAAGTTTTTTTTTCGAATGTTAATGTACGCAGATCATATGTTTAGTGGTCGACCTATACGATTAGACTTAACATTGAATTTTAAGTTAAAACTCTTCGCCTTATACACCAAGTTGACTTATACGTCGCGTTTGACGGTATATACACAAGACTTTACAAACTTGGCTAGTGAATAATTTATAATGTCTGTGAAAGCGACCGTAATGCCTAATTTTCTTTTAAACAAAAACAACAATTAAAAATGTTATTTTTTTTTTTTTACCCAGTCAATTTTATATTATCGGTTGGACGATAATAAAAAAAGTATCTTCAGATTATTCTTCACATTTGAACTCTTATTATCAGAATTTATGTTTTCTAACCTTCGAAAAGAGAGTGGTACCTCGGTGATATTAATTTATCTTTTTTGAAATATTCTTCGCGGGTGTCTTTGATATTCATTGTGACAGATTACATTTCTCACGATACGGCTAATATATATATATATATATATATAGTCGACTCTCCCGTCGAGACTCGACGAATGAGGGTCAAGCAGATCAGTTTCCAGGAAACCGACAGCCCGACACCGGCACATGAGATTTGATTATAGTGGTGAAGGCTTCGTGCAGGACCAACCACACTTTTTGAGGCAAGGTGGAGTAATGGATAGCGGCTTGGATTGAGGAATCGCACAGCCGAGTTCGAATTCAGTCGATTCCATTACATTAACTTACGTGCTAATACCCTTGGGAAAGGTATGAATCCTCTTCCTCTTCCTCCAGCTATGGGTAAAATAGCAGGACAGACTGGGTTCTATAGCCTTCTATGGCAGCTGGTCTGGAAGGACAACTCTGAATTCAAAACCTGCGGAGGGTCGTTTGGGAACCTTGTGGCACCTCGATGCACCTGGTCTCTGTATTCGTCCCTTCAAAAAGTATAGATGATATATATATATATATATATATATATATATATATATATATATATATATATATATATATATATATATATATATATATATATATATATATATATATATATATATGATGATATCCTGTGCCTCTGCCCCCGTGCTATCCTGTGACGACCAATGTTACTTGGTATGGGTCGCGGCGCCAAATGTGACGTTCTAATGCTTGGCTGATTCGGATT